AGTCACTCCATGAATTTATCTAGAGGGGTGGCCTATTGTTCAACCATTGTATCACTTTCCGCACGAGAGAGTAGGAGAAAAGTCTCAACCGAAGAGCGTCTTCGTGTACCCCATTGATTTTCAAACTTCCTGCTATCTCAAGGTATTTCGGGACATGCTCCCTTGGAGACACATCGTTAAGCCCATGGAGCTGGATGTTGTTCTGCATCATTATGACGATCAAAAATTTGTTGGCGGCCACGGGTGGATGCAATTTGCTTGATTGAATATCTGCCGCCTGTGGAGCAATGTGATAGCCCATGGTCATAATTTTATCATTTTCCCATTGGGCAAGTTGATTCTCCGCCATTTCAAGGTTCTCAACTTCAATCTCTCCTTCCGATTCTACTTCCTCCTCAACTTCAACTTCTCTTTTGGATTCAACTTGTTGCCCCCGATCAGCTATCCTTTCTCTTTCTTCCCTCAACTCTCTCTCTCTCTCTCTCTCTCTCTCTCTCTCTCTCTCTCTCTCTCCAAGAGTCGGAGAGTCTGATTGATGTTCTCATCGAGTGGCTCCAAAGGTGTCGGATTGCTCTGGGTCATACACGACCTACACACACTTCAAAGAAACATGACTCGAGCCAACACAAGCAATCAACAATGAAAAAATTAAAAGCTAGATTAATACCAAATGAATTTTTCTTAATAATGGACCGTAAACTTTCCCCGGCAATGACACCAAAAACTTCACTCATTCCTAACTACACGAATGAAATCCTGACTATAGCCCAAGTATAAGCTCTACTAGGGTGTAGTATAGGGCAAGCGTTTTAAAATGTCAACCGGGGTCGGTCCATGTACTCCTACTTCAATCGTTTAAAAACGTTATTTTGCAATCGGTTTTTTAGTGAAAAATAAGAGCTACAATTTAAACAAGCGAAATTCAAATTGTTGTGGATTCTATATAAGAAAAATTCACCTGGGTATTGCTCCCCCTAGCCTTGTATCAAGTTGGAATAACCACTGTTATCAAAACCGGGACGCACCGGACGGTCCGACCGCAAAAAATCGGACCCACCCAACATTCCGGTTTTGATGGCCTAAAAACGCAAAGGAAATGTGTTGGACGGGTATTGACCGGTTCAACCGGATAACCAGCAAACTCGAAAGACCCGAACCGACAATTTTAGTAATTTGTTCACCTTCCATTTTTTACTATACTTTTTATGAAACTTTTTTCTTCTTTCTTCAAAACTGAGAATTGAATGAAAAGGGAAGGAGAATAATTATATTCCTTTTTTTATAACTTTTTCACTTTTTCGTTAACTCATGCACCTAGCTACCATTTTTTAGTTTTTACTTTCAAGTTTTATCTCCTTCTTTCCCCAACTATCAATCTAGAATTTCTCTCTTCTTCTCAATAATTCCTCTCCTCTTCTTCTTATTTTTAATTCTCTCCATTTAATTTTTCAATTGACCTACATAATTGGTCAAAACTCAAAAAAGGAAAAAAATCTATCTCTCCAATAAATTTATCTATCCTTAAATGTTCTTATTATTTATAAGTACTATAATTATATTTTTTAATATTGAATTGTTCAATTGAATATATGTGTACAAGATATAGAATTCTCATTTTGAATACTAGAACTAATTTTCATATGCATTGTGAAATCATTTGTATTTTATTTGAAAATATTATATACCACCGGTTTTATGATCGGTTTTATGCCGGTTAATCACCGATTATCCGATAAAACTTTAAACTCTTGCTAATCTAGATTATTACCCGATCCGGTTTTGAAAACACTGGCAATAACGAAACTCTAGTGTGAAATAGTGTGCTCTTATACCGTGAGGATGATACAACTAGTGGAGAATTCCACTCTCTTAGGCAATAGATCTGGGAAAAGCAATTAAGCTAGGAAACCTAGCTCTCTCAATCAATCGGCTAAGAATTTCTAGCCAATTCTTTGGAGGTTAATTCGGAATGGCGACAAAGAGATAAAACACAATCAAATCGTGATGCTAAATTGATGTTTGAGGTGTGTCCCTAATTACCCTAGAAGGGGTTACCCAAATTGCCCAGAAGTGGGCAAGGAGGGAATTTCCTCCTTCTAGGTCAATTTGACCCAAACGAGATATGGAACCCAACACTCACAAACCATGAAAGTACCTCAAGCATTATTTTAAAACACACAATCATAACACATAGAGTTCAAATCCAACAACCTGCTACATTTCTAGGTTAGGGTTCACAATCCCAAATAAAAAAGAGCACTACTACATAGCTAAACAAGGAATTACAACAAAGAAGAAAGAAAAAACAATGGTGTGGTGTTTGACTTACTTCCTTGTTGTATGAATCACCCTTGGAAGATGAAAATCCCCAATCCTCTAGCTTGGTGCAAACCCTAGATCTCTTCTCCTCTCTTGCTTTGTCAGTTTCTCCCTCTAAAATCATAAGAGGTTGATAATCTCTCACTCGGCTCCCCTTTTCAAGTTCCAGATCCATTCTCCTTTTATATGCTGGTCGCATGCACATCACAGTCAAATATCACGGGCGTGAATTGGAAGCTCTGACTATGATCTCGAGCAAAACCGCACCGTTCCATTTACAACCTTCACGGTCGGGATGGGATTATCATAGTCTGGTAACCGCGCTAACTTTTAGACCCACGAGGCGTTAAAAAATCTCTAGACGCCTTGCATGTCACGAGCTGGCCCTCATCTTCACGGTCGTCTGACAGTGATAATGTTGCTCTAACCGTGATCTTATCCTTTTTGCCCTTTTCTATCCGCTTTCACCCTCTTTCGTTCAACTTTTGCTTCTAAGGCCAATCTCACCTACTAGAACCTGAAACATCTAGGAAACATGCACAAACTAGCATAAAATGGAACCTTAAGCAATATAATTGCCTCAAGAACACGAGCTGAAAAATGTGCAATTAGTCCCGAATCATGTGTCGAGATCATGGTTACCCTTTGGACTTCACCGGCACGTGTAAATATGTAGTCATCAAATTCCCCCACACTTAAGCGTTTGCTTGTCCCCAAGAAAACGAAGTCAGACACAAGGTAATCCCAAAACGTTTTAACCATGAAAAGTTTGGGGACGTATTATAGAGAAAAAAACATGTGAATCATACTAGCTACTAGGCATCAACACATGGACAACATCAACAACAACTTCGACTTCCCCAACCAAACATCCAACCGCCGACGCACTTTGTCAAGAACATTGCTCTAGATTGACGAGGAGATCGGTGGCGCTTCGAGGGGAAGTCCTAGGATAATCAGTGGAAGTGAACTGATGGCTTAATATATACACATGTTTTTATCCACCATTCTTGTGCCGTTTGAGCCTCTTTTCTTGTATCTTAGGCCAATTTCACGCTAGGTTGTTCTCGTTTGTGTTATTTCAGGTCCTAGCATGTTATTGGAAGTTTAGGAACGAGTTCGGGGTCGATTGGACGAAAGTTGGACGTTTGGTGAGAAGCTGAGGAATCCACACGGCCGTGTGGCGTGACCGTGTGGAATCCCATTACGCGGGCAAGGCCACACTGGTCGTGTACTGGGTCCCTTGAGTCCGTGTGGAAATTCCAGGAAGCTCACACTGGAAAGCGAGTTTTCTACACGGCCGTGCAGCTCTGGCCGTGTAGCATTCGTGGAGCCACTTAATTGAAACGTTGCGTTTTGCCATGACACGGGCAGACTGGGAATCCACACGGCCGTCTGGTCGGGAAATTTTGGGCTTTAAACCAATTTCGAGCCTAAGGAAAAAATCGAGTTTTGATATAAAAAAACAGAGCTTTAGAGAGATAAAGTGCGAAGAACAAACCCTAGGAGCTATTTGGAGTGGATTTCTCACCATTGAAGCCCAGATTGCATCCCCAGGAGTGAATATCGACATCCTAGAGCAGATTATCCTCATCTTTATGAGTATGACTATTCTAATTTCTGTTTTCCCGTCTCTCTCTATGGAGTAGAACCTTCTCTCACTTGGGTATGAAGAACCCTAGTTCCATGTGTTAGGAATCTTGATTGTAATGACTTGGGATTGATATACTGATTGGTTATAATCGATTGATGCATGATTCATTGAGTGAATTGAAGTCCGATCATCTTTTCTTGATTTTTGCTGCAACCTGAGATAGATAGAATCTGATTAGGTTGTTAGAGCTTCATCAATCGGTAGTGGTAGATTGGTTATACAAGAGTTAATCGGTTTACTGCTTTGTACTGGAAACCAATTCCAGTAGTCGAGTTATGTGCTTATTGCCTCAGCAGTCAATCCCGGTGAAGGTTAGTCGCATGCCGGTTAGCCTGCTTGAGAGGGCTTTGTCAGTTTAAGAGATTCCAAGCTAAAATTCGATCCTTCAAGTCGTATTTGTTAGCAAGGAGGAGCAACACCCTAGTGAAGCCTTCCAAATTAGTGTCAAATCCATTTCATCTTTGCAAAGTAATTTAGTTTTACACCTTTGTTTTCACCAAGACTAATTCGCTAGATAATATTTCAAACAATCGAAGTAGCGGTACATGTGTCGGCCCAGGTCGATATTTAAACAGACTTTCCCTATATTGCACCCATCTAAGGTCTATACTTGTGCCTTAGGTGGGATTTTATTGTGATAGTCAGAGCGAGTCAAGTTTTTGGAGCCGTTGCCGGGGAGCTTCGGTCCGTTATCTTGAAAAGATTGTTTGGTGTTAATCTAGCTTTTATCTTTAGTTTTGTTAAGAGTGAAGTGTGCTTGTGCTAGATGTGGTTGTGTTCTTTAAGTGTGCGTAGGGAGGTGCATGACCCGGAGCAATCCAGCGCCTTCAATACCACTAGACGAGGACATCAACCAGACTCTCCGACTTCTAGCTCGAGAGAGGGAGAAAGCGGAGGCAAGAAGGAGAAGTGAAGAAATGGGACAACAAGTTGATCCCGGATTTGATTGAAATGAAGGAGAAGTTGAAGTTGAGATGGTGGGGAATCAACATCAAGGGGCCAATCCGCTTCCAATCCCAAATGTGGAAGCGAGAACCAAGGAAGAGCCAAGGACTATTGGCTATTACATGGATCCACAGGCGGCGGATATCCAATCTCCCATTTTACATCCAGCCGTGGCTGCCAACAACTTTGAAATCTAGCCCACTGTTGTGACGATGATTCAAAACAACACATGCTTTCATGGCCTTTCTCATGAACTACCACGAGAGCATGTCCAAAGGTTTCTTGAGCTAGCAGGAAGCTTGAAGATAAATGGCATCCTCGAGGAGGAATTGCGATTGAGGCTCTTCCCCTATTCTTTGGCGGGGAAGGCACTCTGATGGCTCAACAACAATCCGGCTCTATCCATCACCTCTTGGGAAGATTTACTCAACAAGTTCATGACCTGATATTGTCCTCCTTCCAAGACGACCGAGTGGAGAAAGAAGATCACTCACTTTGAGCAAGAGGAGGATGAGATATTGTGGGATGCACGGGAAAGATTCTCCGACTACTTCCTTCAATGACCTCACCATGGATTGGTGGAGCAATTTCGGATAGAGACTTTCTAAGGGGGACTCATGCAAGATGATAAGATCCTCATAGACTCTCTTTGCCAAGGGTATTTGATGAACATGAACTCACCTCAAGTGACTGAGTTTCTTGAAGATATGGCTCTCAAAGGATATGGTTGGGGCTTGACAAGAAGTGGGAAGGGAAGCACAGAAAGACGAGTGCGAATTGTGGGAGCAAGTGCTCCACTTGAAGCGAAGCTTGACAAGTTGATCTAGGTGATCCTTGAGGACAAGAAGCAAGGGAAGAGACGGTGATGTCTTGTGATTGGTGTTCGAGCACTAATCATGAAATTGCAGATAGCCAAGCGATGAAGGAGACAAGTACCCCCGAGGAGCAAGTGAGTTTCATTGCTAATGTTAGAGGGAACAACCCTTATAGCAACACCTACAACCCCGGGTGGCGCAATCATCCAAACTTTGCTTGGTCTTCCCCTTCCAATCCAAGACCTCTCGGTTTCCAAGGTCCAACGGGAAACTATCAACCTCGGCCAACTTTCATCCAACAAAGGCCTCAATTCCAAAACTCGAACTTCCAACAACCATACCAAGCACAAGGCAGTCAAGGGTTTCAACAACAACAACAAGTCGACAAGTTCTCTAAACTTGAAGACCTAGTGACCACCTTTGTGAGTACAAGCTCTCAGAAGTTCGAGAAGATTGAACAATTCCCGGATGTGGCAACCTCCAAATTTACCTCAGTTGAGGAGGGCTTCCGAAGCCATCAAGCAAGTCTCTAAAATTTGGAAGTGCAAATCAGCAATCTTGCCGGGATTCTCACCGATAGACCAAAGGGAGCCCCTACCTTCTCAAACCATTACCAACCCCAAGGATCATTCCAGGGTGAATTCAATTCATTTGAGAAGTGGGAAGGTGACTCCGAAGGTCGTTGCTAGAGAAGTGGATGAGAAGGAAGACCCTCTACCCGAGGGTGAAGAAGAGGAAACCTCGGGAGAAAAGAGAGGAGTGGCGAGGAAGGCATCGCCGACGCCACCACCTATGGCTGAGTACACACCAGCCCTAACTTTTCCCACGAGGGTGCATAATGAAAGAATGGAAGCGGAATGTGGAGGCTTCATGGAGATGCTCCAAAAGCTCCACCTCAACATTCCCTTCCTTGAAGCAATGGCCCACATGCCAAGGTATTCAAGATACCTCAAAGGGCTTCTCTCCAAGAAGCCGAAGTTTGAAGACCTTGCCAATGTCACCCTAGGCGAGGAGTGCTCAGCCTTCATCCTCAAAAGGTTTCCCAAGAAGCAACCCGATCCAGGTAGTTTCACTATACCTCTTTGCATCGGTTCTCATCACATAGAAAATTCCTTGGCGGACTTAGGGGAGAGCATAAATGTGATGTCATTTAAGCTTTTTAGGAGGCTAGACATAGGTGAACTAAAGACTACGAGGCTTAGTGTCACATTGGCGGATCACTTTGTCATTAGTCCTAGGGGCATAGTGGAGGACGTGCTAGTACGAGTGGGAAAATTCTGTTTTTCGACGGATTTTGTGATCCTGGATATAAGTGAGGATTCTGAGATGCCACTCATAATAGGAATCTGTTTCCTTGCCACCGCCAAATCATTAATTGATGTGAATGAGGGAATTTTGATTCTAAGGGATGGTGAGGAGAGAATTATTCTTGGAATTGATCCTAAGCCTAGGAGTGAGGATGCGAAGGAAGTGGAACCGGGTCATGTGAATGAAAGTGGAGGAGAACCTTCCAAGGTGAATCCCACTATTATTGTTGTTCCTTGTGATGATGTAAATCAGGAAAGCAAAGAGAGCATCTCACCCAAAGAAGGAAGGAAAAGAGCTTGGAGAGAAAGGATAAGTCATGCTAATGCCCAGTAGAAGGAAAAGGACAAAGCGAAAGTCATTGGCCAAGGAGGTCACCCCATGGAGAGTAAGTTGGGAGGTGACATGCTTTTCCCTAATATCGTGGCGGATTCACTCTCGGCGGCATCATGTTCAAAGGCGTGATATATCCGCATATTCAAGCTAGTGACATTAACTTAGCGCTTGTTGGGAGGTAACCCAACATAGGTTTGTTTTCTTTTCCTTATTTTTGTTTCTGAGTCGAGTGAAGAGTTCAAGTGGTCGAGTGGTCTCCCCATGCCAGGTTTTTGTGATTGTGTGTTTTGAGTTGTGTCGTGAATGGTAGTAGGCACGGTGGAGTAGGTCGAGTAAAAATTTGCAGAAGTACCTTGTTTTCACTTTTGTTCACTGTCTTACAAGACCGTGAATAGGCAAACGCGTCTGTGAACCAGGGTGCTTCCACGTGTGTCAAACCCATTGGATTGTCAGACTTTATAGACGCATTGCAGTGTTCATGGTCTTAACGACTGTGAACTGGAAAATCATAAATCTCAGGGTCTGCCTATAAAAGGGTCGTGAACGGTTTTCCTTCACTTTACGACCCAAAACTAGTCAGAATCTTTCAAATCTCGCCGGAAAATCATAAATATCTTACGGTTATTGCCATTTTCACCCACTTCTGGCAAGCCAAATCCAAAACCAAGCACAGACACAGTCTCCCCTCGTCAAGGACGGATGACTCGCACGAAACTACACCACAAATTAATCCCGACTAGAGCCCAAGTTTTTAAACTCTAGTCGGGTGCAGTATAGAGCACGTATTTGAATTGTCAACCCGGGCCGGTCCATGTACCCATACTTCAATTTCTTAAGTTGTTATCTAGCTTAATTCAACATTGAGGTTTGCCCTAAATTAATCTAGTTAGTAGACGTAAAAAGCTAAATGAAAACCAACTCGATTGAGTCTCCCTTGGAAGGAGGATTTTCCTCTCTAAGCTAGGTTAAAGTGGCTAATTAGATAGCAAAAGTACCAACATGCACAAACCTAAGGATGCTAAGCACAAAACATGCACAATCCTTAGGTTGCTAAGCACAAGCATGCACAATCAACATGAATAATACCTCAATCATTAGATTAAACAATACCCATAAACAATCATTCAATCTAAACAAGTAATTACAAAGTATTAGTTAGGGATCTACAACAACCAAGAGAAAAGAGTGAGTTTCTAGAGAGAGAGAGAGAGAGAGAGAGAGAGAGAGAGAGGGATTACAACTTTGAGCTCAAGATCTTCTTCTTTTTCTAGACTTGAATCTCCACCCAAGCCTCCAATGATGCTCCAAGATCACTCTAGAACTCTCTCTCTCTCTCTCTCTCACTTGAACTCCCCTTTGGTGTTTTTGGGCAAACCCTAGAGAAAGAAACCAATTCTTCTCCAAAAACCAGCTCCCTTTTCTCTCTTCCCGCTGTTGTCTTCATATTTGCCCGAAAGCGATAAGTTCATGGACGTATTGGCCAGTACGGTCGTGAACACCTAAACGCGTCCGTGGACTCAGTCGTCTCCAAAACGCACCGCCTTGCTTCCTGGGTTCATGGTCAATGGCCACAGTTCACGGTCTTAGACACCGTGAACTGCCTTGTCGTTAGTAACTTCAGGAACCTCTCTGGACGCCTCAGTGTTCACGGTATGTGGTCGAAGTTCACGGTCTTAGGAGACGGTGAACTGCCTCGTCCGGCCATGAACTGCGGCTGTTTCCTGGGATGCCTTAACTTCACTGTTTGACCTCCAATTATCCCAAAATTCGACATCAACCCTTCCAAACGTGCTAGGACCTGAAATGTATCAAAACAAACACAACCTATCGTGAAATATGTCGAGGAGCGATGAAATACTAAGCTAAACGAATAAGAAATGAGGGATAAAATGTCTACATTTGGGCCCGAATCAACGGCATTCGCCAGAATTTTGGGGATATTTGGGGCAATTTTTCCGGTGAAGTCGCCGACGACGAGGCTCGCACGAGCTTCCGACGAGACTCCGACGACCCCACCCCCCTCCGGTCTGTTTTCAGCCGATTTTTTGCCTTCCTCGCCCTATTCTCACTTCCCTACCCTTCCTACTAGAGTCTCCAGGTTTGCTTTTAGCTTTACCTTATTTAATTTGGGAGAGTCGAATTAGGTAGTGAAGTGAGGAGAATTTTAGTGAATTGAATGTTGAACTTAGAATTAGGGCGAGGAATTAGGTGAAATAGGGTGATTGAATGGTTGAATAGTGTTGCATGAGCTTAGTTGAGCCTTGTGGGCATGTTTTGATTCGAATTGCTTTTATTTGTGAAATTTGCCCACCAAGTGATAATTTATGAATGAATGTGAAATGTTTATGCTTGAGTGGTGGTTGGTAGCCACCATGGATGGTTTGGGTTTAATTTTTTGTGTGGGATAATCCGTGAACACCTAGAACCATGCCTCGGTGTGCTTTTGCTTAATTGTTTTAATTAGCATGGACCCGTAGTGGAAATATATGTCCGGGGGAATTCCTATTTCCATGTATGGTGCATGTTTGTCGATTTTGCAAGATGCTTAATAATGAGCGCGAGTACGTCAGCTAGTTGGTGAACCACGCACGGTTCAGGACCAAGTTTGCATGCCAGAGGGACATCCCAATTGGGCCACATTGGCGGCTAGACATGGACATGTTCAACCTATTCAGGTGCTGAGTCGCAATGTCAGGAGTCTCATGTCACCCCTAGTGGCCCTAGATACTGTCATTGGACGAGTTCATATACCACGAGCTCTGCGTGGAGATCTACTCCACCTTCGCCCACGTCGTCCCGACCACTAAGAAGAGTCGGCCCTAAGTGGAGTTTATGTTGGGCGGTCAGTCATGGGTGCTGACCTATGATGCATTCCCCCAAGCCATGGGGCTCAACATGACCTACATGATGATGCTGGAGCGGCAGTACACCGTCGACTTCCACTACTAGGCCACATTCCAGACCATCTGCCTCTCCGAGAACGAGCAGGACGAGTTCGAGGTTGGCCGCACCAATGCGTTGACGCTGAGTACCCCTTGGAGGATCATGCACACGATGCTCACCCGATCTGTCGTCCATAGCTCGCAGTCGGGCCACTTGATCACGAACAGAGGCCTGCTTGCTCTCTTTTCTATGAGGCATCCAACAGAGTCGATCCACCTAGGATCGCTGATTGCCACCTCTTTCGCCCGATGCCTAGGGCGGAACATGGTGGACACTATGCACATGGGGGGCATCATCACGATGCTTGCTCGGCACTTCAGCGTGGATCTGGAGTGATGCTCCATCGTTGGGCGGACAGAGCCCTTCCCAGTGGCAACGCTCTACAACCAGAAGCTAGTACTTCAGGGAGAGCGGGGGATAGAGTACCTTGAGGGGTGCCAACCCTCAGGAGTCATTAGGCCAGCAGTCAACTCGGCTCCATTGGAGCCCGATGCAGAGGTCCCACCTCCAGATCAGCGAACTGGTTGAGCTCTCGGTCGCCGCTGGCGTCCCGTGATCCAACGCCCTGCACCACCACCACCAACAGCAGCAACTCCACCATCAGGTGCCGGTCCTTCCAAATCTGGGGTGCCCCTCATGTAGAGGATGGACCGTCTAGAGACGCACGTCGTGGGAGTCACTTCCCGGCTTGACCGGCAGACCGACCTTCTCGTCGTGAGGGCCTACTTCCAGATAATGAGCCGGGGCCTTCGACTCAGTGAGAGGTAGCGGACGAGTGAGACATGTGGTAGAGCCGATTACTTTCGCCCCACTTCTCCACTTGGAACTCTGTTGTTTTATTTTTCTTTCTTTTATTTAGTATGTGTGAACAACTACTACTATCGGATTTTCTTGTGTAATAACCTCACCTCGCCTCGAGCGAGTATGTGTTGTATTTGAGTGTGTGTGTTTTTGTCTTCTCCTTGAAGCTAAACTCTCCTACCCCAGAAAAATTCTAACTTTCACTCACCAAGCAAAGCGGTAACATCGTTCTACCCCCTATCTTACGCCATTGAGGGCAATGTCAAACTTTAGTGTGGGGGGGGGGTAGTTTATTCTTATGCTTGTGCGAGTGTGAGTGTGTTTGATGCTTGGAGCCTTGATATATGCCCAAATTTGAAAATTTTGAGGGCTCCAATCAATGTTTGCATGATCAAAGTGGTTGGTTTGTAGGAGAATCTCGTGTTTATTGGTATTGACCATGAATTGTTGCATGTGATCGAGTGTGTCCTATGATGATTATTGAGAGGTACATTAGGATAGTGCAAAAGTTTAGTTCTCATGTGTGCTATAATGAATGGATGTCTTGACTCGATTACTTGTTGATTACAAATGCCATGCATTGTGTTTTGTGAACTTGGAATGGATGAATGGGTGACAAGGTAGGCATGTGAGTTTTAGCCGATTGTTCTCTTCTTGTGTGCTTAGGTCCCTCTTACCATGGCGAGTAACATCATAGTTATCACTAGTGAGTATAATGGAGGCATAGGATTAGTGATGACTTGATATATACACATGTTTTTGTCCACCATTCTTACACCGTTTGAGTCTTATTTCTCGTGTTTTAGGCCGATTTCACGCTAGGTTGTTCTTGTTTGTGATATTTCAGGTCCTAGTACGTGAATGAAGATTTAGGAACGAGTTCGGGTCGATTGGACGAAGATTGGACGTTTGGCGAGAAGCTGAGGAAGCCACACGGGCACGCCTAAAAACCCACACGGCCGTGTGACCTGGCCGTGTGGCACCAAATTGCACGGGCAAGCCACACTGGCCGTGTAAGGGACCCCTTGTGGCCGTGTGCAAAGTCCAAGGAGCTCACACGGGCAGCCTGGAAATCCACACGGCCGTGTGGTTTTGGCCGTGTAGCGTACCTGAAGCCACTTAAGTGAAACGCGATATTTTGCACACTCACACGGGCAGCTGGGAAAGGCACACGGCCGTGTGGTCGGGAATTTCTGGGTTTTAACCCAATTTCGAGCCAAAGGAGAGGGAATCGACTTTTTGGAGCAAAAACAGAGTTTTAGAGAGAGAAAGTGCGAAGAACAAACCCTAGGAGCTATTTGGAGTGGATTTCTCACTATTGAAGCCCAAATTGCATCCCCAGGAGTGAAGATTGATATCCCAGAGCAGATTCTTCCCATTGTTATGAGTATGACGGCTTTGTATTCTGTTTCCCTATCTCTTTCTATGGAGTAGAACTCTCTCTCACTTGGGTATGAAGAACACTAGTTCCATGTGTCAGGAATCTTGATTGTAATTACGTTTGGATTGTGATATTGCTTGATTATAATCGATTGAAGTGTTTTGATTGAGTCAATTGAAGTCTGATCATCTTTTATTGATTTCTGCTGCAACCTGAGATAGATAGAATCTGATAAGGTTGTTAGAGCTTCTTCAATCGGTAGTAGTGAATCGATTATACGAGAGTTAGTCGATTCACAGCTTTGTACTGGAATCTAATTCCAGTAGTGGAGTTCTGTGTTCATTGCCTCAGCGTTCTATTCCGGTGAAGACTAGTCGTCTGCCGGGTAGTTTGACTGAGAGGGCTTGGTTGGCTTAAGAGATTCCAAGCTATTGTCGGATCTTCCGCAGTATAGTCAGCAGTAAAGCAACCAAAAATAATTACAACTGTGACCTAACTAAGGAGCTAGGGGGACTCATTCCCGAGTGACTCTTCCTTTGCTTTAGGAAACCGAACCATTTCCTGCTTTCTTACTGCTTTTACTTAAATCAGCAATCACTCGACTTAGTTTGCTAGATAACAGATATACACGGAGTAGGCAGTAGATCTAGACCTCGGGTTGACAATTAGAGCTTGCCCGTTACTACATTTCCGGACTGCGATTACACTTGCTCGCAGTTTGGTGTTGTGTTTTAGCGTGTCAAGTTTTTGGCGCCGTTGCCGGGGAGCCTCTAGGTTATTGGGGAAACGTGTAAGTTTGTTACTCTAGCTTTTTTCTTTACTGCATTTTCTCTCTTCCACCTGTGTGCCTTCAGGGGTTGCTTTTGCTGATTGTGCGCAGGTAGTGCATGACCTGTAGCCAGTCGGGAGATATACTACCATTAGACCAGGAGCTTGAACGGACCTGTAGCAACTTCAAGCGGGCTCTAAAGGCGCGATTGGCTCCATAGGAGGCTCTAGCACAACTGCAAATCGCCGAGGAAGAAGAGATGGGTGACCCACAGGGCCATGATATGGTCCTTCCCGAGGAGCAAACCATGGGGTACTACTGGACCGCCAGAGCCACAGACATGAGGTCGCACATTCAGCACCCTCATGTCCCAGTCAACAACTTTGAGGTGAGCACCTCGGTCATCACTATATTGCGCGGCTCGGTAGTATTCCGTGGCAAAGAGGGGGGTGCCCCCGATCACATCTGAGGCGATTCTACGACCTCATCGATGGAATCAATATAAATGGGGTCCCAGCCGATGCCATCCAACTGAGGTACTTTCCATTCACTTTGGAGGGGCATACCAAAGAGTGGCTGGACACCAGGCCCCCTGGATTGATCAACACGTTCGCCAACCTAACGGACAAGTTCCTCACTCGCTACCATCCCCCTTCCAAGACGGCGGACCTGCAGAAGCAAATCAACTCACTATTCTGTACCGAATTTACTTTGGTAGTGGAGATTTGGTTCGTTAGGGCCTCAATCTGTTTACTCCGGTGGAGGTTAGTCGCCCGCTGGGGACTCAGATTGAGAGGGTCTGGAGACCTTTAGTCGAGACTTCAGACTGCTTAAGAGCCTCTCACAGTATAACTATCATTAAAACTGAACTGGGTAAATTGCAATCCGGCTTAACTGTAGTCTAGGGGGAACCATATCCAGGTGACCTCTCTCGACTTGAAAACAACCGTTTAATTGCTTTCTTGTTTGCTTGTTTGGACCTGCATTAAAGTTTTACC